GGGCCTTTCCCCGTGCCACCCAATTTATCTAAACTATCTAAACCGGGAGGGGTTTAGACCAGAGCAGCGGGAGCCCCCAAACTATCTAAACTATCCGAACTATCTAAACTATCTAAACCCATCCCGGTTTAGATAGTTTAGATAGTTTGGGCCTTCCCCCGTGCCACCCAAACTGTCTAAATTATCTAAACCCCTCCCGGTTTAGATAGTTTAGATAGTTTGGTTGTCTCCCGTTGGTTTGGAGAGAGAGGGGTTTAGATAGTTTAGATAGTTTGGGCCTTCCCCCGTGCCACCCAAACTATCTAAACTATCTAAACCCCTCCAGGTTTAGATAATTTAGATAGTTTTGTTTTGGGGCTCCCGCTGGCCTGGAGAGAGGGGGGTTTAGATACTTTGGGGCCCGCCCACGTGTCCCCAAACTATCTAAACTATCTAAACCCCTCTCTCCAGACAGGCAGGAGCCCCCAAAACTATCTAAACTATCTGAACTATCCAAAACGGGAGGGGTTTAGATAGTGTAGATAGTTTGGATAGTTTAGATCGTTTAGATAGTTTGGGGGGCTCCCGCTGGTCTGGAGAGAGATGGGTGTAGATTGTTTAGAGCGGCACCAGGGAGGCCCCGAACTTTCTAACCTATCTAAACTCTCAAACTATCTAAACTATCTAAACCGGGAGGGGTTTAGATAGTTTGGATAATTTAAATAGTTTTGGGGGCTCCCGTTGGTCTGGAGAGCGAGGAAACTATCTAAACTGCCTCGGTTGGATTCCAGCGCATTCCAGCCTCTGAGCCGTCAAACCGCCAAAAAAGTTGAAAACGTTAAAAAACCGTATAAACCAGATAATGCGCAACAGCTTCCCCCAAGCCAGCGATCCCAAAACCTGCACTGTGTTATGCGGTTCATACGGTCTTGTATGGTTCTGGATTCAGATCTAAACGGTGGTACAAAACCGAGCAACTTCTTACATGTTGTGGCTACCAGAGTGCTTCCAAGAGTTTAAGATGTGCATGCACGTGTAGTGGTACATGCCAGTTTGCAGAAGGCTTGTTTGCTTCCTTTCGTTTGCACCCCCACTGTGTCGAACACGATTTTTGGAAGGCGTGCTGTTCCAGTCTGTGTTGGGCACAGCATTTCCCAAGTCCAAACATTGCCAATCGATTGTCACGGCGTGTTTGAATCGCAGCCCTCGACGATCAAACCGAAGAGGGCTCTTTTTATTCTCGTTGCAGGAGGCTCTCCTCTTGTTTACGATGATGAAATGGAAAACATGTGCGTTGTTCTTCACTCTTGTCAAGAATAAGCAGTGACTTACCAAGAGGTATCGGAGCTCTCTTCAAGCAAGGAAGCTAGCTAACTCGCTTCTCTTACCACGAACAACTTCGGAGAGCTATCTTCTGTTTTAGATCAAGGGGTGGAGGAGTTCCCTTTTTGAAACTTGAAGGGAGGATCAGACTTCTTTGTTTGAAGATTTGGGGGGGCTCCACCATTTCTTCTTGAGCGTAAGCTTTCTTTCATTTTCCGGAGAGGAAAACGAGGCAGCCAGGAGTTCTCTTGTTTGCCGTGCCAAGAGAGGAAAGGGGTCTTTTCTTGCCAACTGGAGGGTAAACGGACCTCTCTTCTGTCTCGTGAAGTTCGAGGGGCTTGTCTGCCATTGTGAGATGGGGCGCTCTTCTTTCTGAATATATTGGAGGGAGCTGCCTTTTTGTCGAGGATGAGGTAGGGAACTCACACGTTGCTTTTTGCTTGTTTGCCAGGAGCGTGCTCTCTTCAGTCTTCTTAAAGTTAGGACAAGGTCTTGCCAAAAGGAGAAGGAGCTCCCTTCTAGGAAACTTTTCCTACAAAAAATGACTTGGAGTGAGCTCTGTTCTTGCTTCAGAGGATGAGGTAGAGGGCTTCTCATTCCGCTTTGAAAAGGGGGCGGGAGGACCAGACTTCCTTTTTCAAGTATGGAGGAGCTCCATCCTTTCTTCTTGATCGGAAGCTATCTCTTCTTGCCGACTGGGTGGTAGACAGAGCTCTCTTCTTTCTCGATCTTGGAGGGCCCTGTCAGTCCATTATTGAAACGGAGAACTCTTGAAATTGGATTGGCAGAAGCTCCCAGTCTCTTCTTGTCGAGGATGATGTAAGAGGGCCACTCTGTTTGGAAGCTAAGGAGGCGCTGCCATCTCTTGCCAGGGGATCTCTTCTTCTAACGAGAGGTAAAGGAGCTCTCTTCTCGCCGATCAAACCGAAGAGGAGCTCTGGTATTCGCGTTAAATTGCAGGGGGCTCTCCTCTTGTTTTCGATGATGAGGTGGAAGGCATGTGCGTTGCTTTTCACTCTTGCCAAGATTAAGCAGTGATTTACCTAGAAGTATTGGAGCTCTGTTCAAGCAAGGAAGCTAGCTAGCTCCCTTTTCCTACCACCAACAAGCAAGAGCTATCTTTTGTTTTAGAGCATGGGGTTGAGGAGTTCTCTTTGTGAAACTTGAAGAAAGGATCAGACTTCTTTGTTTGAAGATTTGGGGGGGTTCCACCATTTCTTCTTGAGCATAAGCTCTCTTCCATTTTCTGAAGAGGATCATTTCCCCTGCCAAAAGAGAAAGGAGGTCTCTAGTTGCCGCCTGGGGGGTAAACTGAGCTTTCTTCTTTCTCGTGAAGCTGAAGGGGCTTGTCTGCCATTTTGAGATGGGGCGCTCTTCTTTCTCAATACATTGGAGGAAGCTCTCTTCCTGTCGAGAATTCAAAAGTGAAGTCTGGTCTTCCCCGCCCACTTTCAAAGGGACATGGGAAGGCCTCTACTTCATCCTCTGAAACGAGAACCGAGCTCAATCCAAGTTATTCTTCGTAGGAGAAGAGAGCTTCTTTTTTGGAAGGGAGCTCCTGTACCTCTTGGCAAGACTTCATCCTAATCGTAAGAAGACTGAAGAGACCGCGCTCGTAGTCAATATGGACAGAGCTCCCTCAGTCTTCAATCAAAATCAACGTCTGATTTCCCTACCTCATGGAGGAGGTCCATCCTTTCTTCTTGATCGGAAGCTCCCTTCCATCTTTGAGGACAAAGGGAGATGGTCAAGAGCTCTCGCGCCCGACTAAGGGAGAAAGGAGTCTTCTTCTGGTCCACAGAAAGATATTTCTCGAGAAGTTAGAGGGACCTCTCTTCTGAGTTGTTGGGGTAGAGGACCTGTCAGGGGATCTATTATCTACCAAGTGTTAAAGGAGCCTTCTTCCTTCTCGTGAAATTGGAGGGAACTGTCTTCCTGTTTTCGATGATTAGGGAGAGAGCTCATACATTGTGGGGGGGGCTCTGTCCTCTTTGGCTACGAGTGAGATCTTTTCGCTTTTCTCCCAAGAATGAGAAGCGACGTTCCAAAAGGCAACGGAGCTCTGTTTCTAGAAAGAAGCTCTCTTCTCTTACCACGAACACCTTGGGAGAGCTATCTTCTGGTTTTAGAGCATGGGTTGGAGGAGTTCTCGCTTTGAAGCTTGAGGGGAGAACCAAGCTTGTTTGTTTGAAGGTTTTGGGGGGAGGGGCTTCACCGTTTCTTCTTGAGCTTAAGCTCTCTTCCTTTTTTTGAAGAGGAAGAGGAGATAAAACACAAGCTTTCTTATCTCCCGTGCCTGGAAGAAAGGAGATCTCTTCTTGCCGACTGGGTGGTAGACAGAGCTCTCTTCTTTCTCGATATCGTGGAGGGCCCTGTCAGTCCATTATTGAAATGGAGATCTCTTGAAATTGGATTGGAAGAACTCTTCTTGTCGAGGATGATGTAAGAGGGCCAGTCTGTTTGGAAGCTAAGGAGGCGCTGCCATCTCTTGCCAGTGGATCTCTTCCTCTAACGAGAGGTAAAGGAGCTCTCTTCTCGCCGATCAAACCGAAGAGGGCTCTTTTTATTCTCGTTGCAGGAGGCTCTCCTCTTGTTTACGATGATGAAATGGAAAACATATGCGTTGTTCTTCACTCTTGTCAAGATTAAGCAGTGACTTACCAAGAGGTATCGGAGCTCTCTTCAAGCAAGGAAGCTAGCTAACTCGCTTCTCTTACCACGAACAACTTCGGAGAGCTATCTTCTGTTTTAGATCAAGGGAAACTTGAAGGGAGGATCAGACTTCTTTCATTTTCCGGAGAGGAAAACGAGGCAGCCAGGAGTTCTCTTGTTTGCCGTGCCAAGAGAGGAAAGGGGTCTTTTCTTGCCAACTGGAGGGTAAACGGACCTCTCTTCTTTCTCGTGAAGTTCGAGGGGCTTGTCTGCCATTGTGAGATGGGGCGCTCTTCTTTCTGAATATATTGGAGGGAGCTGCCTTTTTGTCGAGGATGAGGTAGGGAACTCACACGTTGCTTTTTGCTTGTTTGCCAGGAGCGTGCTCTCTTCAGTCTTCTTAAAGATAGGACAAGGTCTTGCCAACAGGAAAAGGAGCTCCCTTCTAGGAAACTTTTCCTGCAAAAAATGACTTGGAGTGAGCTCTGTTCTTGCTTCAGAGGATGAGGTAGAGGGCTTCTCATTCCGCTTTGAAAAGGAGGCGGGAGGACCAGACTTCCTTTTTCAAGTATGGAGGAGCTCCATCCTTTCTTCTTGATCGCAAGCTCCCTTCCATCTTTGAGGACGAAGGGAGATGGTCAAGAGTTCTCGCGCCCGACTAAGAGAGAGAGGAGTCTTCTTCTGGTCCACAGAAAGATAAATCAAGCTCTCTTCTTTCTCGAGAAGTTAGAGGGACCTCTCTTCTGAGTTGTTGGGGTAGAGGACCTGTCAGGGGATCTATTATCTACCAAGTGTTAAAGGAGCCTTGTTCCTTCTCGTGAAATTGGAGGGAACTGTCTTCCTGTTTTCGATGATTGGGGAGAGAACTCATACATTGTCGGGGGGGCTCTGTCCTCTTTGGCTACGAGTGAGATCTTTGTGCTTTTCTTTCAAGAATGAGAAGCAACATTCCAAAAGGCAATGGCGCTTTCTTTCTAGAAAGAAGCTCTCTTCTCTTACCACGAACAACTTGGGAGAGCTATCTTCTGGTTTTAGAGCATGGGTTGGAGGAGCTCTCGCTTTGAAGCTTGAGGGGAGAACCAAGCTTGTTTGTTTGAAGGTTTTGGGGGGAGGGGCTTCACCGTTTCTTCTTGAGCTCAAGCTCTCTTCCTTTTTTTGAAGAGGAAGAGGAGATAAAACACAAGCTTTCTTACCTCCCTTGCCTGGAAGAAAGGAGATCTCTTCTTGCCGACTGGGTGGTAGACAGAGCTCTCTTATTTCTCGATATCTTGGAGGGCCCTGTCAGTCCAATACTGAAACGGAGATCTCTTGAAATTGGATTCGAAGAAGCTCCCAGTCTCTTCTTGTCGAGGATGATGTAAGAGGGCCACTCTGTTTGGAAGCTAAGGAGGCGCTGCCATCTCTTGCCAGGGGATCTCTTCTTCTAACGAGAGGTAAAGGAGCTCTCTTCTCGCCGATCAAACCGAAGAGGAGCTCTGGTATTCGCGTTAAATTGCAGGGGCTCTCCTCTTGTTTTCGATGATGAGGTGGAAGGCATGTGCGTTGCTTTTCACTCTTGCCAAGATTAAGCAGTGATTTACCTAGAAGTATTGGAGCTCTGTTCAAGCAAGGAAGCTAGCTAGCTCCCTTTTCCTACCACCAACAAGCAAGAGCTATCTTTTGTTTTAGAGCATGGGGTTGAGGAGTTCTCTTTGTGAAACTTGAAGAAAGGATCAGACTTCTTTGTTTGAAGATTTGGGGGGGTTCCACCATTTCTTCTTGAGCATAAGCTCTCTTCCATTTTCTGAAGAGGATCATTTCCCCTGCCAAGAGAGAAAGGAGGTCTCTAGTTGCCGCCTGGGGGGTAAACTGAGCTCTCTTCTTTCTCGTGAAGCTGAAGGGGCTTGTCTGCCATTTTGAGATGGGGCGCTTTTTCTTTCTCAATACATTGGAGGAAGCTCTCTTCCTGTCGAGAAGTTGAAAAGTAAAGTCTGGTCTTCCCCGCCCACTTTCAAAGGGACATGGGAAGCCCTCGAAGCTCTGTTCAAGCAAGGAAGCTAGCTAGCTCCCTTTTCCTGCCACCAACAAGCAAGAGCTATCTTTTGTTTTAGAGCATGGGGTTGAAGAGCTCTCTTTGTGAAACTTGAAGAAAGGATCAGACTCCTTTGTTTGAAGATTTGGGGGGGCTCCACCATTTCTTCTTGAGCATAAGCTCTCTTCCATTTTCAGACGAGGATCATTTCCCCTGCCAAGGGAGAAAGGAGGTCTCTAGTTGTCGCCTGGGGGGTAAACGGAGCTCTCTTCTTTCTCGTGAAGCTGGAGGGGCTTGTCTGCCATTGTGAGATGGGGCGCTCTTCTTTCTCAATACATTGGAGGGAGCTCTCTTCCTGTCGAGGATGAGGTAGGGAACTCAGACGTTGCTTTTGATTGAAGACTGAGGGAGCTCTGTCCATATTGACGACGAGCGTGCTCTCTTCAGTCGAGTCTTCTTATGATTAGGATGAAGTCTTGCCAAGATGTGCAGGAGCTCCCTTCCAAAAAAAGAAGCTCTCTTCTCCTACCTAAAAATAACTTGGAGTGAGCCCTGTTCTTGCTCCAGAGGATGAGGTAGAGGGCTTCTCATTTCCCGTTGAAAGGGTTAAATAGCGGGTAAAGCACCTTGTCTTCCGAGGTGTCCGGTGCGTTCTCGACTGCCTGTGAAAAGCCGAAGGACAGACTTATTCACACCCCTGGTCGTACCCCCAACTGTATCAGGTCTCCAAGGTTTGTGGCCTCTGGTCGATAGAGCAAAGTAGGTAAGGGAAGTCGGCAAAAAGCTTAAAAAAAAGGGGGACGCACCTCCCCAACTGGAAACTGAATGCCTTTATGATGAAAGTTGAAAAGCTCTGAAAAAACTGTATTTGATGCACGTCTTGTTCATGGTGCGATGTTATTGAAAGCAAGCCTGAACGGCATAAAAGGGGGGTTGGGTGGGCGCGAGGGCTAAGCCTCCTGAGTGAGACCCGATCTTCCGGTCGTGTGGAGACCATGAGCAGTTACCTTTATCGGAACCGTCAACACAGGCGCCTCAGTCTCCTTAGTCATCACATGCTGGCTCGAACTCGGTGCTTGCGGTGCCTCCGAAGTTGTTGCACGTGCCATGCTCATCGACCCTCCGTGGTGGTGTCCCATCAGGCAGCTGTTCCGGTCGTTTGGAGACCATGAGCAGTCAGTGGCGTGGGAACAGTCAACAGAGGCGCCTCAGTCTCCTCAGCCATCACATGCTGGCTCGAACTCGATGCTTGCGGTGCCTCCGAACTTGTGCACATGCCATGCTCATCCACCTTCAGTGGTGCTGTCCCATCAGGCAGCCGTCGATGAGGAACACTAATCATACTGTTGCAGTGTGTAGACGGTGTTTAGTATTTACACAAAGAGCGAGCGACACATTATACATAAAGGTTCCTGCCTCATATATATATATATATACTGTTGGGAGCCAAAGACCTACTCAGTACCTACTGGAATGGTACTTGGACCGTTTGTGGAACCGCCAATGCCGAGTAGTAGAGTAGGAAACCTTTAACCTTTTTTCTGTAATATAGTCCCTGTATAATCCCTATATAACCAAAAAGGTTAACCTTTCGTTCCCATGATACCCGACAATAGGCTATTGTAGCACCATAAATAGTAGGATCCTTATTATATATATCTATATGTACATATGTATATATATATATATATATTTATGTATATATATTTATGTATATATATATATCCCTTATAGTGCCCTTAGTATCCCTTAAAGGAACCGTCAGTGAGTTTGCGCCGGACAGGAGGGCAGCCCGTTCACTTGGAGCTTCCTCCAGAGCTTGACATGGAGATCCGACGTTTAGGGTCCTTGGGTTCTACCTGCTGCTTTTGGGGGGTTTGGGTGCTTTAGGGTTTAGGGATTTGGGTTTAGGGTTTTAGGGGTTTAGGGTTTAAGGTCCTTGGGTTCTACCTATAGTCCCCATTGTAGTTCCTTTTATGGGGTAGCCAACAGCTATACTATAGGATCCCATTAAAATTGGTTAACCGAAACAAGGAACTGCAATGGAGACCATAGATAGTGGTCAGAACGGTTGAGTAGTTGCACCGTTCTTCTTTAGCCCGATTACGACTGCTAGATAAGACTGTCCCTTTCTAAACGCCCCATGGCACTTCAGGGTTTGTGGGTTATGAGATCAGGCTTACACGTTTGGTTTCAAAAAGAAAAGGTTTGGGACTACGCAGGGGTTGGGGTTCAAGTTTGTTGACTGCATTCAGCCGCCACAACGCAAGCCTTTCATTCCAGGGTTCTAGACCCCGCATTTACCTGAACCTCACCCTACGACCGCCGGCTTTGAGTTGCAGGTTTATCTTTGGGGTTGCTGTTTGGGAGGTCGTTTCGAAGCTTGTCCAACGGCTTGGTGGGTGGAGGAAGCAATGAAAGGTTGTGTGTAAGATGGATTGCACAGATAGATCTACCAAAGCTCTGGAGTCCTGCCGGGCCAAATTCTTCTCCAAGGGGCAGTGATGCATGCTCGTTGTACTGCTGATGGACAAAATCCTGCATGGCCCTAAGGACTCTAAACTATGGAAATTATGGTATATTCCTGATTCTGGGTAATGCAGGATTTTGTCCATCAACACTAGTAGGCTGAAGTCTTAGGCCCCGTAACCATTGAACCAGAGAGCGAATTGACCACAAACTTTTGCTCTTCTACCACGATTACTCCAGCTACCGATACAACTGCTGCCGCTGCTACTACTACTACTACTACTATTATTATTATTACTACTACTACTACTACCACTGCTGCCACTACTACTACTACTACTACTACTACTACTACTACTGCTACTGCTACTGCTACTGCTACTGCTACTGCTACTCCTACTACTACTACTACTACTACTACTACTACTACTACTACAGCAACTACTATTACTGCTACTACTACTACTACGACGACGACGAATAATAATCATACTCCTTCTCCTGCTGCTGCTACCGCTACTGCTACTGCTACTTCTGCTGCTGCTACTACTGCTACTACTACGACGGCACATGCTTTCTTTTTCGTCATTGTTTCGATTGCTGAAGTATGAGAAGTATACAGCATTGACGACAAGGAGAGCTGCATGTCCGCGGTGTGACCGGCTGCAACTTCTGCGGCGTGTGATGAAGCCACCCTTGCGTCTCACCGCTGTCGCGGATTTCACGACTGCGGACAGGTCGCCGCCAGGGCCGAGATCGCCATATGCATGCGTGGTAGCATTCCGGCAGTACGGTTGCAACAGACGATTTGTTTGCGGATGAGAACCTCACATGTGGAGCCGAATGGTTAGCCTGTCAACCGCCAACTATGGTCTCATGCAGATCCATCCTAAGAAATCCGTACCAAAGAAGCTGTCACACTACAGAACCTGAGACCCCCTTCCGATGCCAGTCAAAATGCATACGTCTATAAACCTCGCAGGAGCTTTCCATCGTCACACGTGGCAGCTCCAAGCGGAAGAACACGAAGAAGCGCATCGTCTTCGATTTGATCAGCTTTTTTTGGTGAGAGGGTGATTTTCAGGATTTCGGATATTAGGCTCAGGGTTCGGGGATGATGAAGCTTAAAGGGTTTCGTGGGCAACTTCGAGACGTGATTGTGCCTGAATATTGAACTGTATCTTCTTGAGCTCCTTTTATATTACAACACTAAATCCCGCAAAAAGCCGCATGCAGGGTTTACGGTGTACATCCGGATTCAGCGGGTTCAGGGGTTATGGCTTTAGGTCGTTTGCCTTGGAATGATCGCTGTTTCGCTCATGAGTTCTTTGGGGTCATAGGCTTCTCTGTGTTTCGGTGGTAGCATGGTGTTGTTATCCTAAACCCTAAACCCTAAACTATACCTGGCCGGAAAGATTGGCTCTTTGGGCCACAGTCAACGTTTACAGGTTTCGTTTTACCGCCAAAGCCCTCCGGCCTCACTAAGAGCCCCAAAATCAGAACCCCACACTCCCGAAGCTCGATAATTCTGACGATCACCCTTGAAGGCCCTGTAAGCTAGTATACCCTCAACCCCAAAACCCTACATACCCTAAGGACCTAAACTCCCTTTTCCCTGAACCTTACACCCGTTTCAGAATCCTCAAATCCTAGGCGCAATGGCGCAATGGCGGTGCAGCGGGACGAGGCAAGCACTCCGGCGATGCTTCAAAGACTGTCAACTTGTTTAGGTTCCATGTTATGATTTCAGTATAGAAGTATGTTTATTCCATTGTCAAAATTATGGTCTCGCTTTGGGTTCTTATTAGAATACGGCACCTAATATTTAGGGTACCCAAAAAGGGACCATCATTTTAACAACCATCCTCATTTGCCTACCTGCGATCTTCTACTCAGAAAGCCCCCTTCATCCAAGACTCTGCGATCCCCTTAGCCTCACCAAGCTGAACCGCTACATGGGTGTCAAAATTAGGGTCCCTTTTTTGGGTACCCTAAATAAATATAAATTAGGTGCCGTATTAATACTTTGGGGGTCGGGGGACTTAGTAAGTAGTTAGTAGGTAGACTTATAAGTACCCTAAACGGGATACTAATTGGGGTTGATGGTACTTACAAGTCCCTAAAATAACCAGTTACTAAGTCCACCGACCCTCCAAGTAGGAGAGTAGGTAGCCTTGAACCCGTTTTGGGTACTATAGTCCCTATGTAATCTTTAGATAACCGAAACGGTCAACCTTTAGTTCTTCATGATACCCGACAAGCATGGGGCCCTGACCGATGTTTCGGGCTACCCCTTAGGGTCCATGTGCCGAAACAGTATATACTTTGGGCCCAATGTACCTATATAGGGACTACTTTATTTAAGGCTAATGTCTATACTATAATTGGGTACATGGGCCCTTAGGCTACACTTCAGGCATCCTCTACACGAAGCTTTGTTTAAGTCCCAAACCCCTGCGCCACAAACCCTCAACTCCAAGTCGTGACTATGACCCTGGTAAACCGGCAAACTCTGAGCCCTTGACTCTGAATATCAATTTGCGTGAGCGCTTGGTCTCCTTCTTCGAGGCCTTTGCGACCCGGGTGCTGCAGCGAGTTATGCAAGTGGTGGTGTATCGGAGCAATCACTCCCCACCGGGCGCGCTGATGTCGGCGGTGGAGTGCGCGACGCATTGGCAGATGAATTTTTGGAAGAGCACCAGCAAGGTGTCCGAGGATGTGTTTCCACTATGGGCTATTAGGCCCTAAAGATCCCTATTAGGACCCTATTAAGGGTAGATTAAGGTACCCATAAGGTCTAATAGCCCATAGTGGTTTCAGGATTTATAGACAAAGCTGCGCGGCTCTGGGATGGCTGGGGCTGCAGAAGCTTAAGAAGCGCCTGTAGGAGTTCGAGGGCATTTGCGGGAAGAAGACTCCCTGGAACAACATGGGAATTTCCGAAAATTAGGGGGTACCTTATTTTGGGGCCCTTCTAATAATAAGGATCCTACTATTTAGGGTACCATATTAGGGTCCCCTATTTTTCGGAAACTCCCACATGGTGACCCTTGCGGTTTTAGGGTTTAGGGTCTCGGGTTGAGGGTAGTTTAGGGTTGCGAGGAAGGTTCAAGGCGATTGCGCGGTGGGCGAGTGGCTTCTGGATGCATTCCACGACGTGATCCGCACGGGAGTCCACCAACGACTTCTCCGCAGCGCCTGGGGCATCTGGATGTCCTCATTGGTAAGAAGAACATCCTTTCACTCTGAAACCCAGAACCCTGAACGCTAAGCCATACTCTAAGCCCGTTTTCTAATAATGTAAAACTGCATGCCGCAACTGTGCTCCGAGTATTAGCGTCCTCTTTGCTTACACCTGAAGTCCTGTCTCTGTAAGCTTACATGAAGTCCTTGCAGAACCCTAGATGCAAACCCCTTCGGAACCCTAAAGAAGCAGAAGCTGGGCTTGCATCTGTGCACGAGAAATGTCGTAGTTTCTTGCATCCTTCGACAGGACTCATGATACTATTCTCTAAGCCTCGATTCAGGAAATCCTACAGCTGGCAACCCGAAGCCCTCCAACCTAAACCTTCAATCCCAAATCCCAAGCTTAAGTCCAAACCCAGACCCGAAACCTCTGCCTTAAACCCTGGCCTCGCAGGCTTCATGGACCCACAGAGCGCTCTAAAAACCTCCGAAAAACGCGCCTCTCGCTTACTCCGCAGAGATCCCAATACCTTAATTATCATGAATATACCTTAAGTCATAATATGAAGCCCGAAAGTTAAAGGTATATTCCTTAGTTAAGGGTTGTTGGGTTCTCTGGGTCAAGCCATCCCACCGTTTGGGGCTCAGGCCTCCAGCTCCAGGATTTCGCTAGGCCACTAAGCCCTACTTAGAGGTTCATGGTACTTAGTAACTGGGGTTATAAATAAGGTAACTAAACTTATAATTGGTTATATCCCCAGTTAAGGTACTTAGAACTGTACTTACTAAGTCCCATGAACCTCCAAGTAAACCCCAAGCCCTATAAACCCTAAACCCAACCCTCCTGAAATTTGCGAGGCCACCGATCGAAATACCAGCACCGTCGACGGCCGACGCCTCCTGAAAGCCTTGCTCCCGCACGGCGGCTTCCAGGTAGGATTCCAGAGCTCCCTTTCAGGGATTTCCTAAGGGATCTATAAGGGTTTCCTCTAAAGGGATCTATACTTGGAGGTTCATGGGACTTAGTAAGTACAATTATAAGCATAGTTACCTTATTCATAGCCTTAGTTACCAAGTAGCATGAACCTCTAAGTAAGGGTGCTTCAAGGGAGCTATAAGGCTCTTTTAAGGGCTCCTTTCGGGACCCCTTCCAGGGTTGCTTTAAGGGTTCGCTTTAGGGGTCCCGACTTGTAGATTTGTTTTGGCTTAGGGTTGCTTTGAGGTGTAGAGTTTCAGAGTTCTAGGATTTTTGGCATTTCTTCGTTCAGAACTTTCCGATTCAAGTCTCCAGACATCCCGCAAAGTAAGCCCAAAAGAGCTGATCAAACTGCACGTAGCCCTGACACATAAACAGACCCTTCCCAAGCCACCGACCCTCTTGAACATGCCTTGGTAATTAACATTTTCCAATTTTAAGTACATCCAAATTAAAATTTCAAAAATATTTAAAGTTATTGAAAAAATAGAAACTTTTTACACCCGAATTATTTTCATTAAACTTTTCAAAATGTAATTGAAGAAAATACATTTTTTAAAACAGAAGTCTCAATAATTTAATTGTTTTGGAAATGTTAATCGGAATGTATTTACAATTTTAAGAACGACTTGTTTAACATACTTGATTTTTTAAAGACGTTCAAAATTGTCAACTATTTTGGAGATTTTAATTAGACTTTGACTACAGTTTTAGAATTTAATGAAAGGCAGGGTTGCATTGATTGGGCTTTCGCTCGTGTTTTAGAGTTTCAGGGCGCCAAGTTTCAGGAGCTGGGTTTGGGGTTTGCTAGGGCCATGGCTGCGATTTATTCGGTTCCTCATAATTGATGAATTCGGTTGAGGTGCCGGCAGTGTACACGGCTCCGGTTTCCGGTTTCCAGCTGTTTGAGTACGTGGACTCTCCAGGGCGAGGTTTAGGTTTTAAGATATACCCGGACCCCAAGTAACCGACTGTTTTGAACGACTTATACAAGGAAATCATGATAGGGAACGAAAAGGTGGTTTTTTGTTTCTTACAGGGTCCAGGTAGGGTCTAGGGTTTCACGGTTTGGCTGAGGGGTCATGCAACGTCATATTCAATGTAGAACCCGAGATCTAGAATCCGAAATCTACGGCGCATTTCCCCCTAAACCAAGAAAGACTCTCTGAACCCGAAAGTCTAACGGATGGCATGCACATAAGTCTATTCATGTTTAGCTAGATTGAAGCTCGCTGAGTCTTTCAAGCAGTTGTTGGTGCAGCTGCTGCTATCTCGCAATCGGTCACTCAGGCAGTCGGTGAATCAGTCGCAACTGTTATAGGAGAAGTGGTGGCACTAGTACACCCTAAATCCTAAACCCTAGACTCTTAGACCCTAAACTCAAACCCTAAACCCCAAATAAACCCTTAAACAGTCTTAAACCCTAAACCGTACAGATCCCTCAGAGCACCCTTATCTGAGACTGCACGGGACTCCTTCCTGTGAGCTGCTTGGGGTTTAGGGTTTAGGAGTTCGTCTCATACAACAGGACATGGAGCGTTCAGGGTTTGCGGTTTGCAGGGTTTGGTGTTTGGGGGTTTAGGACAAGGACCTGGAGGGACGTAGCATGATATGTAGGGTTCACCCTACGGCTCACAAATAGCTTAATTAGTTGGCCCATTTTGCGCTGGTTGTTAACACGAGCGAAGCCAGCATAAGACATCATACAGCCAATAGGCTTTCTGGAATAATCCACAAAGTTCGTGAGTCGTGCAGGTGGTTCTCAAAGGCACCGTCGACGACCCGGCGCGCACAGCTGGAGTGCTAGAGTTTCCCGGGTTTTAGGTGATGACGATGGGTTTATTCGGTTCAAGATTGTGTTTAGCCCGTTAGATCTCACACCCGAAGCCATGCAGCCCAAACAGGACCCAGATCCTGGGTTGAGGAAGCTTGTTCGGAGACAGAATAGAGTACAGTATAGTATAGTATAACTAGACTTCAGAGGCACTGTCTTGATTGGGTCTTTCATGCTTCGTGGCGCTTCGATGCAGTGGGGAGAAGCAACTGCGAAAATAAAGTTTCTTATGCATGGTTCTCGTGTAGCCCCCCATGAACCTCAGGCATTGAACGCTAGTTATAATTGTGAGTGCTGTGGTCCTAAACTGACATGAACTACAGGTGTGGCCTTTTATCTGTCTTCCGACTTTCGGGAGTGGCGCCGAGTACTGCACTTCGGTGATTTTGCACAGGATTCGGATTACGGGGGCTTTCGGGTTCAAGGGTTTAGGGCTTCAGGGGTGTAGGGTCTGGGGTGTAGGCTTCAGTGTATAGGACATGGGCTTTAGGATGTCGAAACACGTTTGGTTGTGACACGGTTGTGAGGTTTCTTGCTTTCGTGAACTACAATAACTACAAGTAAGTGAAGATGAGTGATAGGTTTTTGACTCGACACCATGTAAGCGAGGCCTCCGAACACAATACACCAAACCCGAGACATTTGTGGAGCTTGGGCCAAGGCCAGATATTATGTAGGGACAGTACTGGAAGGTTCAGAGGATTTAGTCAGTACTGCCATGCACCCTGGACCCTGAACCCTAAGTTACCAATATATTGTAGTTATGGCATAATGGGCCCCAACACCCTGATCTAATCTTGAAGGCCTCTACATTAAGCCCTAGACCCGGAACCCTAAACGCTACCCAGAGGCCCCATAGTAGTTCCTTTTTAGGATTACCTTATAGGATTCTCTTTCTGAAGCCCAACAAGGAACTACTTTGGAGCCTTTGGCTAAGCCAACTATGCGTGGAATCTTCCGGGTCCCTCTCCCTTGTATCTTGGGTACGGCCCCCACTCAGTAAGTAATAGTTGAATAAAATCATAGTACTGATGTATTAGGACCTTAGTAGTAGCCTTGCCTTATTATGGACTCTTACTGTATGGGGGCAGTACCTAACTTGTATCACAGCAATATGGGTGGTTGTCAAAATTGGGTCCCTTTTTGCGTCCTTCTTATTATACTACGGCACCGATTATTTAGGGTACCCGAAAAGAGACCCTCATTTTGACAACTACTCATATAGTTTTTGATTCGCCATTGCCTACCAAATACATATCGACAGATTTTTGTGGACCCTTTATGAGGGTGGCTTGCCCATGTCTACCTAGTACCTATATCTACATAACTCTATCTGTATCTGCATCTATAACTGTAACTATAAAGTTATCTATGTCTATACCTATAGCTTTCTCATATATCTGTATCTATATCCATATCTATACCTATGTATATGTCCACAGTTGTGCCTATAGCCTATGTCTATATCTAGATATGTACCCATATCATGCCTATCTGTATCTAGGTACCCATCTGCCTATTTATCTGTTTACCTCAATCAAGCAATCTATCCATCTATCTGTATGTATGTGTTTATGTGTGTATATATATATATATATATGGGTGGTTACATACGTACTTACATACATATACACACACACATATATATATATATATACATATACACACCTGCACATGTGTATGTATATATGTAAGCTCAACCCCCTCGCCGTTTACCATGCATGTAGATCTAGTTCTAATCTGCATCTATACATGTACATCTAAACCTATACTCTTTCATTTTTACAGAGTATCTTTTCCACAACTTGCAAGAACTATGGTGATTAGCCATTATAGTGGGGTTTGTCTGGTTCGGCATTGGTGGAGCATTTGCATCTGGGGCCTGTGTGACGGTAAGGTTCGGTTTCAGGATAATTGGGCATAGGGAGTAGGGATGAGCATTTAGAGTTGAGGCCGTTTGCATGTAGAGTCATGATGCAAACTGACGGATCAGGAGGCCTTGCTGGTGACTCTTCCACACCATCATCGACTTTGGGCTCCCCACTGGCGTATATTCCTATTCCCACTAACATAGTGACAGCCGGGGCGAGGGACTGGACGATCGATCCATCCTCTTCGGAGCCATCCAGCGCAGCTTTTTGAAGGCCGAAAGCTTTTGCTATGTTCTGCAAAGCTGTTGCAAAAAAGTGAGCTCGCTACGAAAACGAACTCTGCACAGCGCACGGTGCTGATGGACCTTTGCAGGAAGATGCATTCCGTTTTTCTGTTTAATTCAGGGCATCCGCCCGGGAACCTTTACATGGTTGGTTTGAGAACCAGGCAATCCATGCATTATACGCGCCCACATGCATGAGTCAAACTTCGATAAAATGCAGAAGGACTCTACTCATCCCAGGCTTGCAAGTTTACCAAATCAAGTCAACACAAGAATCTCGTCACGTTCTGCGATTTGCTCTGTGCGGTGGAGACACAACGGTTCGACGTTTGCTCAGTGTAGAACTTCCGGCTTATCCCGTGGACGTGGAGTTCACGGATCTCAGGAACACATTGAAGATCCGACAGGGCTTGATATACAGCGTCATTAATTAGTGCTCGGTCCTGCCCGGTTCAAATTGAATTTTTCGACATCGCCTCAGTGTAAGCAACACAATCATATCAGTCACTGTTGTTTGGTATATCATATGTATTCGCATAGAAGAACCAACGCGAGACAACACGCACGGCGCATGCCACAGACAGCAACACGAAGATGTGTGAGGGTGGACGGAGAGCCATGTTAACGAGTTTCGTCAGTGGGTAAGGGAAATCACTGGCACTTCACGAATGAATTGGTCAGCCCACGATGCAATAGCTGCAATTATCTAAAGCTGTCCCCTAAAAGCAGAGCTTAATCATCCCGTGACCCAGCACCTGCAAAAGTTCGACCCCAAAATCTGGGGACAGTCGTCATGGATGTATGCACCAAACTGTTAAAAGTCAGCACAGTAGTTCAAAGCCACGCTACAATTTTTTGAAACTTACGATTTGCCTTGGAGCTTGAGGAACATGAGGAACCCATTGAATCGAAGATCGTTACATACCCCCAACTGGCAGTTATGTACTAATTGCCTTTCTCGAACCTATGCTCAAGCAGAATCCCTTTTCTTGCAGAATCCCTAGATGCCACATCCTCGCAAAGAAGCTATGAACGCTAAGTTTCTAGCACCAGACCGTACTTAGCCCTAGTCATGTGTCAGGCCCCAGTTTTTCGCAGGAACATCCTAAAGCGTCCTTATTTGCAGGTGGGCCTACAGCCTGCGATGACGCCGGCAGTCTCGGTCACGACTCCCAGAAGTTACAAACTGCGATGTAGGGGTTCAAGTTTGTCAGTTCAGGGGTTGCGGTTAGGGGGTTTGAGAAATTAAGAGTTCGAGCAGGGTATAAAAGGGTTCCTCCGGAGACGTGGCATTTCACAGGCGGGTGCTTAAGTGAACTGTATGCATATACAAATAGACCCTGCTAAACCCCAAGCCCCAATTCAGAGCAAGATCTACGAGGTCAGGTCGTAGGAGTTTCGATTTTGCGCTTTGGGGCATACGGTTAATGTAAGGAAAAGGCCATAGCCAAGTCGATAGTGTGGCTGCCGCAAGTTTTACAGCTCGGAAGTGCTCTGTCAAAGCACTGATTGTGTCATCATGGTGGGAACAAGGAGATGGGTACGTATTCCAACAAACTATAACCGCAAGCGGAACGATAACATCAAAATCAGCGTTCCCCGTGGCTGTTCCCAACAGCACCATTTTGCCCAGAATAGCCATTTCGAACACGAGCCCAGCGCTACACTAGCCATGTTAGAGTCGGCGAGGGACGACGTCATCAATTGAAGGGCGCTCAAGTGGTGGTGTTCGGTAAGCCCCCCAAAGCCAAACAGCAATCCCGAAATGCCCAGAAACCCGAAACCAGACCCTGAACCCGAAACAGCACGTGGCATAGACAACCCCTGAACTGGACATTGTGAACCTTAAACCAGTATTGCCGCAGATTTGGGAGAGTGACAGTATTTGTCGCCCTTTGGGCATAGGACGGCTCGACCATAAGTTGCATGGTCACGTTTTGGCAACACGCCGTCGGGGCTGGAATCTGAGGGTTTAATCTGGAAGCTTGAATAAGTATCACGATGGTGTTTACCTTAGGGCCCCAAAGTAGTTCCTTTTTGGGTTTACCGTATAGAATTCTATATAAGAACCCCAAAAAGGAACTACTTTGGGGCCTTTGGGAAAGGGTTCGAAATTTGCGACAACACCCCACCAAAAACCCACTGAGGCCCCTGTACTGCACCCATATACGTAGTACATTTGTAGTACAATCCCATAAAGCAGCTTCGTAGCATCCTAAAAGGAACTTGTTAAGGAGCCCCTTGTCTACTATGAAGGCCAAGGCCCCCCCGTATTCGGTTCGGGCTTGAGCTTTTCTGTGATGGGCTTCATTAGCGTTTGGTACTCAAGTTTCGGGGTCGAACCCCGTAAACTGCGACTACTTAAAGGCTCATGGGACTTAGTAAGTAAGGCTATAACTAGGTTATAATTAGGATAGCCCCACTTAGGGGAATTATAACCCTAGTTATATAACCTACTTACTAAGTCCCATGATCCTTCAAGTGCCTGCCATTTCTCGCATCGTCTTGGATTTTCGCGCCGTTGCAATGAAAAGTGCATTGGACCCGATGGCGTCGGACCCCAACAGTGACCAATGGTTTAGACTTCTGCAACGTTATGCAGAGACTAAGGGCGGGGGGGGGGGGTATGGGAAATCGTTCGATTGGGGGATGAAGGGCTTCAAAGTTCAGAGATGACTTGCTTATGTTTCGAGGAACCGGGAGAACCCGAGAACCCAAGACCCCTTAATTAAGGAAAAAACCTTAACATATAGAGGCTTCAATATTATGATTTAAGGTATATTCCTTAATTAAGTGGTATTGGGAGCTCTGGGTATGTTTCGAGGAAGGTTGTAGTATGGTTCGGACGCGTAGCGGCGTAGCGTCGATGGCTTCAGGCCTGTGGGGTGAAGGGGTTACATTGGGGCGCAGGGTTCCTGGTATTGGGGTTTGGGGGTCAGGCGTTTAGGGCATATAGTAGACGCCTAAAACTTGGAAACCCGATAGCCTCAATCCTTAAGAGTAATGTATAGGGAATCCCAACACGATTGGCCTCAATCCGGTTTCCAGTTTTATAGAGTTTACTGGAAGGCCCTTACATTATACAGCTCTATTATAATAGATCCCTTATTATAGACTCCTTAAAGGAGCCCTCTCCAACTTTATGGAGTTTACTGTAGGGCATACCCAGAGACCCCATAGCAGTTCCTTTTTGGGATTACCTTATAGGATTCTGTACATGAACCCCAAAAAGGAACTACTTTAGGGCCTTTGGGATAGTGTATTTGGTTAGGCAACGAGGACGGAGGGGTACCCCGGTTACTTCGAAGCTCTAAGGCGGCAGCTGCAGCCGTCAGCAATTGCCCCAGACTTGCTTGGGACAAGCCTTCGTGAACCATAGCCAGCTTAATATAGGAGTTTCCGAAAATTTGGGGTAACTTATTTGGGGGTCCTTACAATAAGGATGCTACTATGTAGGGTACTATACTAGGGTCCCTATTTTCGGAAACTCCCATATGGCACTATGTCATCCTTGAATATCCTTGAGGATGTGTTTAATACAGGGGGTCTGAATGTCATATTGTCATATGAGAGTTTGCGCAAATTAGGGATACCTTACTTTGGGGTCCTTATTAGCAGGATCCTACTATTTAGGGTACTACATTATGGGGTCCCCAACTTTGGGAAACTCCCATACGGGAGCATTTAACAGCTTTAGAACAGGGCTTATGCATATTACACCATGCCGTGAGGAACCCTCAGGAGTAAACTCGCACATTGTTCATTAAGTTCGAATTATTTTTCAGAGCCGGGGCGAACGGTAGATGATCCTGCGATGATGAAACATACTAAGGAGGGAAGTTGCTACGTATCCCAATAACTTGTAGTTGAGAGAAACTATTGTTGCTTTAGGGTTGGTTTCTTGTTGAAGTTGATGGAAAGCCTGCGGTATAGTGCCATGTCAGTGTTGTTGGTCCAGGGCAGCAGCAAGCTAGAAGCAGTTGAGCAGGCCGATCCGTGTAGACAAACCACATCCTAGGCTCCACAGGCGCTGAAAAGAGCGGTGAGAATGTGCGTGTGGGTGTGCGTGAGAGAGAGAGAGAGAGAGAGAGAGAGAGAGAGAGAGAGACAGAGACAGAGAGAGAGAGAGAGGAAGAAAGTCTTAGTAGTAGTGATAGTAGTCGTAGTGATAGTAGCAGCAGCAGCAGGAGTAGTAGTAGCAGTAGTAGTAGTAGCAGTAGTGGTAAAACCCCAAACTTCAAACCGTAGCCTTACCCAGACAGCATACCCCTTAGTATAGACGTTGTAAAGGTCTCTATACGGTGCTTATAGGGTGCATGTACCCATGTACTGCTGAGGCAATGTCCCTATGTACTTAAATAAGGATTACGCCACGGCCAGCGTGTGTACTATTTGGGTATACTTAGAGGTTCATGGTTGTTGGTAACTAGTGCTATAAATAAGGTAACTATACTTTTAATTGGTTATATCATATATCCCCAGTTAAGGTACTTGTAACTGTACTTACTAAGTCCCATGAACCTCCAAGTGTCGTCCTTGAAGGTTTGATTTTTCATGGTTCGGGTCTAGGGACCCTTCCGTGTTTCAAGATGGTCAGCAGTTCCGTGCCAGAGTCAACCATGAGGCTGGGTTCCTTTAAAGGGATCTATAAGGGCTCTATGTATAGGGTTCCGTTTTGGGATCTATTTTAGGGTTTGGGGTTTAGGGGTTCCTTCAAGGGGTCTATATGGGATCTATAGGGGTGGTTGTCATAATTAGGGTCCCTTTTTGTGGTCCCTATTATAGTACGGCACCTAATATTTAGGGTACCCAAAAGGGACCATAATTTTGACAACCAGCCATATGCTTCGCTCGCATGAGCTACGGGACCCGGAGCTTTGCCATGGAAGACTGGGTTATCCTTTGGAACCTTTTTTAAATTTCCTTCTATTATTTTTGTAGAGCACCGTGATAGTGCATAATTTTCGAAGGGCTTCAAGGACAACTCAGAAGAAGCTGAGGGTCATGTCGTTGACGGAGCTCGGACAGTTGACAGCGTTTGTCGGAACCAAAGTTCGTGGAAGGACTTTCCAAGATGTAGTGGAGCCAGAGACCAGCTGGGTCAAATGGTGCATCGAACATCTGGCCGACACAGCAAACATGCTCAACGTATAGATGTCGAAGGGTTCGTACGGCTGATGGACAAAATCCTGCATGACCCTAAGGACTCTAAACTATGGGAACTATGGTATATTCCTTCTAATGGGTAATGCAGGATTTTGTCCATCAGCAGTAGTTCAGTCCGAAGCCCTCCAAGCCGAGCTGTTGACGTCGACAATGACCGAGAATCCCAATCCCCACCCAGCTTCCTCAAAGATGGCTCTGAGGGGCAAGGCTGGATCCAAGGCTGCCCTATGGAAGTTGAGGAAGCATACCATTATGATACCCGACCTGGGGTTATTTCCATATGCCAAATTATTATGATTTCCCCAGCCATTATGATTCCATGCTTGGATGTAGTTGCATTGTGCCCTCAACGAACTCCTAGAGCCTTGTAGGAGCCCACCTGCTGCGCTTGATGACATTCCAGCTCCTACAAGCTCTACAAAACCCTAAACCCTAAACCCAAAAGAAACCCTGACTCATAGGACTCTTATTGACCCAGGCCGCCGGGGTGGCAAGGAAGGCATTCCGCCGGTGCTCATCGTGTCCGGGGAGGACGGGTCCTTGACAGTTTCTTGAGCTTTAGGGCCTTAGTGTTTCCCAAAGCGTCCCAAGTACCTATATGGTAGAATGTAGGGTTCCTATGTTGGGAATTGCTATTCGATTTGGGGAAGTATCCCCTATAACAGTGCCTAGGACCCTTTGGGTTTGGGTGTTTAAAGCTTTAGGGCTTTAATTGGTGTTGGGGTCGACTGTTTAGGGTCTAGGGTTTAGGGAGTATTAGAGGCAAGGCCCCAAGTTATTTGAAGCATAAGTGGGCATACCAAGGTGTTTTCTGAACTTTCCTGACTCCTGTATACCTGTACTGTAGAGTTTAAGGTCGTAGGCTGCTGGCAAGTATAGCCCTCAATCCTAGGTCCTTAGCCTTAAACCGAAACCCTACACCTTCGGAGCTTGTGCAGTTTCGTGGTGTTGTTCAATTTACTTACAGCCGAAGGGGTCTAACGGGGGTATATGACCTCGTTACGATGCACCAGAGTTCCTCGAGTATCCCGCAGAAGGCCGCAGTATCTGTTGTCATACAGTAGAAGCCAGAACGTTGGAATATTATTATCGTAACCCCTTTAAGGTAACTTATAGGGGATCCTACCCTGAAACCATATTCCAACTTTCTGGAGTTCCCTTTAGATAGATGGAAAGCACTCATAGATAGACAGATAGCTCGTTCGAGCGACTCAGCCAGGTGGTACAAGATTTTTGTAGAAAGATGGACAGTTAGATGGAAAGACAGATAGAAAGATTGGTATTGATAAGTTGATAGGTAGGTAGATAGAGTGACAGAGAGAGATTGAGAGTCAGATGCTGGATGTTTTCATTCAGTGTCTCTGAGCTCTGAACCGTACAAGCGCTGAACTCTCATCATGTGAGGCCAAAACGGGATTTAGCCTATGGGGGCTTAGTAGGGACTAGGGTCCCCATAATAGGGTTCACATTAAGGAATCCCTACCCCAAGAATCTTAAACCTCCCTTTTGGCCTCCCATCATACTCTCTCTGGGATTGTAGGCCGCCGTGCGAACCCGACATGTCCGGCTTTAAACCTTGTCAGCTAGAAACTACAAAGCACAACCCCGGCCGTTTTTTCCAGGAAGTGCAGTATGAAGCCAAAGTGTGCTCCACGGAAGTCTAAATCCTCAACCCGACAACCCTAGGACCAACGCCCCATGGTAACCTGAAAGACCAGAAACCCCCAAGCCCTAAACTCTAAACCTGTACTGTAGGGGCCTAGGCCTAAACACCCACCGATATTAGTTTGCAAGGTTCTTTTCAGCTTATAGGTACAGTAGAGTTTGCCATTGTATATTCCAAAAGGTTGTTGTAATCATGAAGGCCCCGATATTCAACCCTTTATAGTGCCCTCATAGTATCCCTTAAAGGAAGCCTTCAAAGGAATTATGCCGGGCCCTATCTTAGGCCCTACACCCTAAATCCGAAGACCCTAAAACTGGGTTAAGGAACTTAATCTAAGTTACCATATAATAGACACCTGTAGCAAATAAAATGGATTCCTTACTATGGCAACTTAAACGAAATCCTTCAACAAGAACCGAAACCCTAGACCCTAAACCTTAAGCCCAGGAGTTGATCGCTGGCACCACAGCAATGGTACAGTACGAAATCGCCGACAAGAAAGGCTTACCATGGAGCAAAGCTCGCCTGACGCAGAGGATGCAACCGCTACCCCTGCATCTGAGCCCGCCTCATCAAGCAGTGCACCGGGCCCCTTCGAGGTTGTAGGTGCCAACGTTTCTGGAGGTGAGCCTGTTGTCAAAGCGGTGACGTTCTATGGAGAATCCTTCAAGGTTCGCGCAGGGTCGTTTCCAGTCACTACGTTAAGTGACACCTCCACTGGACCTGGTGATACACTGACAGAGGATGATCACAGTGAAACCTGCCCAGATTCGTCGTCCTCGAGCCAGGAGACAAGTGTTGGGTTCTGGCAGCATGGCGAACGGCAACCGAGGGCGAGATCTGAAAAGGAACTACGAGCGCACAGAGGCGGTCTTGGTCCCAAACGCCTTGCCCGTAAAGCTGAACGTCTCCGCAACTACTTCAATGGTGAGTGGAAGCCCGCGTGGCTCGTCCAATATGCCAGAGCAACGACGACAACAACTTGCCCCGGTGACAGGCCCCACAGTAGCAGTGCCAGCCATTGACCCTGAGATCATGAATGTTTTCTTGGGAAGACCCAGAACTGAGACCACGCCGACGTTTGACAGCAATGACACCATTGAGACTGTGCCCACTACGGTCCCAACTGCGGAATCCCCGGTGCCCGAGACTGCGTCGGCGGAGACTGGTGCCATGGCTCATGATTGGGACCCGTGGTCTGGTCAATCATGGCATTCAAGTTGGTGGACCTCGTGGAATCATGACAACGACTATGGATCTAGCTCGGCTTGGCATCAAGACTGGTCGACATCTGGGGCTCAATGGCAAACATGGGCGGCTTGGGATGACACGTCTTCCTGGTCTTCGGGGTGGACTTCTACGTCTTCCACGACTTCCTCATCTACGGCGCCATCTCTGCCCATCCTCCCTAACGCGGGCTTGGCCCCGGATGTTCGTTCCATTGATGGACCAGTCACTGATGAGATCATGATGATGCAGATGACTGGAGCAGAACGAGCCAGACTACAAGAAGCTGGCATCAGCCCGGATGGGGTGAATCGCTTGGAGAACCTCCTGGACACGCTCGACGCTCACAATAGGAATGACCTTGGCCCGGAGGCTCGCTGGGCGTTGGGGTGTATCCTACATCGCGTGGAAGATGGCCTCACGACCATTGAAACGATCTATGAGATCCTTGCCCGACGTTTAGTGCCACGCGGCTATCTTCCTCTTCAGAGGATACCTGGAGACGAGATGACTAGATGGCGGCTTTTCACTTGGGCTAGGAACATCATTGACACGTTCACGGAGCACTTTGAGAGAAACCTAAATGTTCGCCTTCAAGTTGGAGAATGTGGTGGAGCCAGTAGCTCAACGGACAATACAGAGCATGAACCGGTTGGCTCTGTGGCTATGACGTCTGCTGAAGGTGACGAGAGCACAGTTGCTTCGACTGGGGTAGCCTCTGTTCCTGGTGGTCGTGTCTCGACACAGCCAAGTGGAGGATCGCAACCTGAACATCAAAACTCGGCCTCGGCCTCAGAACGTTCGAGATCGCGATCTCGCGAGCGCGGTGTGGGCTGTGATGACGAAGACTCTGCGTCCAACGCTTCCTCCTCTTCCTCGAGTTGCCGACCGCCATCTATGAACAGTGAGTATGCCCTTAATGAGAATGGCGACCTGGTAGTTGTCCCCCCGGCCTCACCCAGTGTGATCCCAAATGGGCCCCCACCTCCAAGCCCAGTGAACCGACCGAGAAGAGTCTGCCCTGCTGCGCCGGTGCCCGTCCATGGCTCGATCGAGCAGGCGTTGGCTGGCGAACTCCTGGGTATTTGGACGGAAAATGATGGACAAGCCACCCCTATCACCAGCACTACCAGCACGACATCTGGGGATTTATACCATCCGCCGGACAGTGGGGTGTACTTTGTGCAACTCGCAGCTTCTGTGACACCTAGCAGTGCCTGCATGAGTGAGATGACTACAGTGCTACCTGCTACTTCGGCCTCTTGTTCTACAACCAGCACCACGATGACATCGCCCTCTTGCTCTTCTACTCAGCCCAGGACTTCTTCGTCCTTGTCTATCAGTACGTGGACTTGGGTTGAATGGTCTGGTGATTGGGAGCATTGGACCTCATCATCGTGCTCTCTGCTTTACTCTGACCTACACGGTGTGGTGGATGGAGTGCATGCTCAGCCCAGTACGACTACAACGACTTCGTCCTCAAGTTCTGCGGTGACCTCGATGGATGTGGTTCGGGATGTAGTAAATCGTGAACTTGTACATGCGAGCAGTGCTGATGTTATCGATGTGTTGCATCGCCTTCAAGCTCACTCACGCAGGTTACAGCACGTGATCCGGTTGCTGGGTGTTGCCTCTGAAGAAGCTCTGTTGTGGGTCCAGGTTGCTCCGCATGCACGTGCCTTCAACGGACCGACAATGGCTATGTCTATCTGGCATCAGGTCAATGTGGAAGCTCAGTATGGTGATCAACCCACTCAGTCAGGGACCACCCATGTCACTAACAATCTTGCTGCCCTTCTACAGCCGGGCCTGCCGCGAGATCTACAGCAACTCTGGAGCAGCTTACCTGGGGTGACGCATGGAACTGTTGTTGGACTACGTCGCCGTGCATGGCGCCGTAATGCAGGTCGTCTACACGAACAAGCAGGTCGACCCACGCCTGGTGGACTCTGGCCCTCCGAAGATGACCAATCGCTGTATCTGATACAGACTGACGAGTCCACTCCTGTTGACAACCTTCCTGCGGGCACGTCCACGCCAGCCCTTCCAGGTCGCGCTGCGCCACGCAATCGACGTCGTAATCTCCTCCCTCGGAGGCCTCCTGCCTTTGCGCCTCCTGGTGAACTCGGAACACTGCTTGACGCGGTCCCTCACTCCCGGCGCCATGCTCACCGTCGACGGCGCCATGATCCTCGTAGACGTGCAGGTCCTTTTCTTTCTGCTCATCGTGAAGGTCCACTGCTTCGTGAAGGAGACCTGCTTGCTGATCCTGCGAGTGTGCCTGCCCTTCCCCGTGAACGCAATCGCAGTCGAGATGCAGAATCCAGCTTTGTTACACCTCGTCGTCGCAGGGTACCAGAAGTTGTTGACTGATGTGGTCTGGGAGATTGCGGGAGAGTTTGGTGAGGTTTGAGGACTATGTGAACTGAGAGTGCCTGCCAGTGTAGTGTAAGCCGACTTTGGCTGGACAATTTCGGAGAAAGGGTCCATTGCACTTTAAAAACAAAAAAACCTTAAGCCCTAAACCCTTATAGGAACCCTAAAAGGAACCCTGAATTATGGAAACTTAACCTAAATTCCTTAGCAAGAACCTAGAAAACATCCCAAACCCTAAACCCTAAGATCCCAAGCCGAGGCTTTTGCTGCTCTCGCCGTCTCACAGGGCTTGCCAGCGCCGCCGGACCCGCTGCAGTACGGGGCGCGCCCGCAAAGCATAGGGGCTTTATAGGGTTTAGGGTTTAGCGGCCTTGCCCAAAGGCCCCAAAGTAGTTCGTTGTGGGGGTTCATATATAAAATCCTGTAAGGTAATCCCAAAACGGGAACTACTATGGGGCCTCTTGGCAAGCATTCCTATAAAGGCCTCCTTTAAGGGATACTAAACAGGGGCCTTCATCATTCCTTTAAAGGCTTCCTTTAAGGGATACTATGAGGGTGCTATAGAGGTTTAGTATAGGGGCCTTAATCATTCCTTCAAAGGGTTCCTTGAAGGGATTCTGAAAAAGTTTAGGGTTCAGGGTTTGGGGTCCAGGGTCCAGGGTCGTCAAGCCTCAATACGGATGCCCTGGCAAAGGGTTTCTGAGTTGGTTCTGCAACCTCCGAGACCATCCTAAACGCTGAACTCTAAGCCGTGTTTAGGGCCGATTGCGGAATCAGTACCACTGCAGTAGAAGCACATGAATATTTCCGAGAAAGTGATGTGTCCTGGCGGGTCCCCGACTTCAATGTAGTATCCACTTTTCTGGCTCTTCGAAACCGCCTCGGTTCCACGTTGTCTCTCTGGACAACGGCCGGCTTCATGAGGAGCATAGCGCCGAAGCTGGCACGCGTGTTCGGCAGCAGCACAAACTCAGGATGTTGCCACTTGCTCACCCTTCGTCGATGTAATGACAGTTCCATCGCCTTTCTGAAACTGGGAAAGACAAGCCTGAGCGTGGAGCCGTGGCTACGAGGTGGGGCTGTCAGTCGGCTGGTTAGCGAGTACCGCCAGTCTTTGATGCTCCCAGAGACGTACGTGCAGCTTGCTGAGCAATTACAGCGGAAGGGTTTGGGGTATAGTGTACTACATAGTTTTGCAAAGGAGCCGCAAGGAATACCAGTTTTATTGTCAATTCAGGCACCTGCGGTACGTTGCTTCGAGGAGTCGAATGCTGCCGGAAAGGATGAGAGTCTATGAAGGATCCCAAGCCCCAGAGGAGTTCATACAATGTGTTATGATTGGGGCACCAACTATCCTACATGCAATTTTTGTCCTCCCCTACAAAAGGTTCTAGCAAAGATTTCAAGCTTCTTACACTCATCGAAATGCAGTGCAGGGCTTCGTAGAGTGAAGTTTATTTCCGGCCACCTTTGATCTCGATCCCTCACAGTGCCAGCCATGGTTTTCGAGATTTTACCAGAAAGCAAGCAACCCTGAGCCCCAAACCCGAGCTCTACCGCCTAGTCCTAAGGGGTTAGCAAAGCAAAGGCAGGAAGCCTGGACCACTTGAACCATGTAATGGTATGTGGATGGTTGTCAAAATTATGGTACGTTGTTGGGTACCCTAATAGATACTAGGTGCCGTAATTTGAAAAGCTGCGCGTCGTCCGCCTCGGCCCGGCTCTACGCGCATGCCGCGAGTGGCTACTATCTGCAGCAAGCTCTTGTAGGAAAAAAGTAACAGTTGGAATCGCACCTATAGTAAAAGTAATGTTCATAGCAACACGAAGCAGGATGATTGTGAGTAGTATTAGTAGTGGTAGTATCAGTACGAATTTTGGTGTCGTCATTCCGAAACACTGGATACCAAGACTCTCGCAAGCGGCGGGATGCCTTAAGTATGGGCCGTTGAGGCTGTGGATTTCGTGGGCGTCTTGGATTAGGGAAGCATCACAGCCTTTTCAACCACGTTACTCCGCCTATCCCAACGAAAGGGCGTCTAAAACAAGCCTGAGACGCAAAGCCATCAATTCGATACCAACATAGGGGCCCAAACAATGATTAAGACCCTGCTGGGGTTTTTTCGGAGCAGACAAGGTGAGGTCACACAGGTTAGGTCTTCGGTAAAACAGACTTTTGGTCGACGAAAGCTCGCACCTGTCAGCAAGCGGAGGAGGGGCGGGAGGGAAGAGAGGAGAGGGGGGGGCGGGGCGCAGGGGGGGGGGAGGGGGGGAGGGGGGAGGGAAGGGGGTGGGACTGCCTACAGACAGCCAAAATCCGTTGGAGGAGGTGAGAATTCACCACCGGACCTTGGGAGCGTGGGCCCCGATTTTGGTGTGGGGTCATTAAGAGGTGGGGAATAGAGGGAATCCGACTAGGAACCTCTGACCGCTTCGGCCGGGGCCGAGGCGAATTTTAATAGGGTCCCCAAAACGGACCTTGATATTGACAACCACCCATGTTGGTCTTTTTGTTGAGGATGGCCGACAGGGCTTCTGGGCATTTAGATAAGGGTTCCTTCAGTCCTTAAGCCTTTAGCCTTTTTGAACCCTTGACAAAGCATCTCTAATCCAGCCGTGTCGTGGAGGCCCACGATGACGAAGCGCTCGTCAAAGAGGCCGGGCTGTGTAACTGCACAAAGACCACTAGGAACTAGAGTAGGCCCTTATTCCTTTTTTTTAGGGTTCAGGTTCCCTTATAAGCCCCTTTACACCAAAAAGGGCACCCTTTTTATTCCTAGGCTACTCTTGGGTCTAGACCAGACTACCTGACTATCAGATTCTCTGGAGAGTAGGGCCAGAAGACTTACGAACACGGTGGTCACCACGGTCCCTACGTGCATAGCCTCGGATGCATGCTTTAAGGATAGTTTTGAGGTTCGGGGTCTAAGATTGAGCTATAACCTTCAACCCTAAAAGCAACACCGTAAATCCTGCCTCTCACTAGCCGCTACCCAGAACCTTCCGGCAGATGAGGCTTTCAGGGAGCTTCGGATCCGAAGATCGCCGCGACATCCTCTGTAGGTCTAGCTTCGGTCCGTGGCGGTTTACTTTGTCATAGTTGGGCAACATTTTACATATTTTTATGGGTACTTAAACCCAGTAAGGAATAAACATATACATTTCTAATCCTATCCCAACCATAAACTAGTTTAGGGTTCAGGGCACTCGCATCTGCATCTGAGACTAGTGCTGAAGAGTGTGTGTCTTGGAGACGTTACCATTTCAAACCTGCTTGAGGTGTCAGGGTATTTCCTGCTTCGGTTGCAACTAGAAAGGCATACAGGTGTGACGTAAACGGCCTTTTAAGACCATATGGTAAACGCCCTGGAATCATAGAGATCAGTCTGTGAACCAATACATGAATCAATGAAAGTCAAAGCAAACAAAGCGCCCGAAGCCCGAAACCTCCAACCACAAACCCTAAATTTCCTCCTCAAGCCGAAACCATAACCAAGCCCTAAACCCTGAATCCCCTAAGCCGACTGTAGCAGGGAGGAAAAGGGCCTTCAACAAAAAAAAGAAAGAACCCCCGAAGCCCTAGACCCGCAGTCAAAGCAGCTCGTGAAAGGTCGGCCAGGAGGTGCAGATTCTCACCGAGGACGGCGCACTGGAGGGCTTTGGGGGCTTTTAGGGCTCAGGGTTTAGGGTTTGAGGTTTAGGGTTTAAGGTTTAGGGTTTAGGGTTCAGGGTTTAGGGTTAAGTTTAGGACGTTACTGGTGGATCTCAGGGTTCTGAGAGGGGTTGGGAAGAGGGAGTTGAAGCTTGACGCTGGGATTCTACGGATTTTGTGCTGGGCGTTCATAGTTTCTGGGCTTTGGAGTACCGTACTTTAATACTTTTTCGGGACCTGTTACTGAAAGGGAACAATTATGAATTAAAAGTCTATACATTTTTCTCCCTGGTTACTTCAAAACCCAGGTTTATGTTTGACGGTCTCAGTGTCTCGGGTTTACAGTAAGGTCCGAACGGGGCGCGCCCTGATGCCTTTGACTGTTTCTCTACAGAGGCCACTGTATGGTTTGATTAGTGCATGTTTTCTGCCGTGGATGATGATGATGATGATGTTAACCATGATGATGGTGGTGGTGCTGCGAAGGACCGTCATGAATCATGAGACTGCAGGCTTTATGAATCTTTCGGAAATTCGTTGTGATCCTCTGACTGCCAGACTATGAGAAAACTATGGCGTTTGTGGTCCAGATGCGGAAGGATGTAAGGCCGTGCCACTCCCGTTACCTCCCTGAAATGAGGGTGACTTACCACAACGTCAAAGAAGCTGGTGTTACCAGCGTGGACCTCAACGTGCTGGGCATAGGAGGATGGAGGGTGGTGGTGGTGGCACCCCACGACCCAACAGTAGTGTGGAAGATCAGCAAGGTTTCCCAGGAGACTGAGAAGAAAGTGTTTAACCTCCTGGGTGGAGTGACTCCTGGAGCTCTGCTGCGATTACCCTGTCTCTCGACTCGGGGATGGATTTTTGCTAAACCCTAAAGGTTTACCTGTGACACCAAACCCTACAAAATAGTAGGTTATGATCCCGTAGTTAGAGGGTAGAACCCTCAAAACGGCAGGGTTTCGGATCCCCAGGTAGGGTTTAGGGCCCTAAACCTCTAAACCCTTCTTAGGCCCTTAACCCAAACCCTGAACCCAGAGAGCCCAGACTCTTGAAGCGAGATGCTTCCTCTAAGGGTTTAGGGTTTTGGGTTTAGGGTTTAGGGTTTAGGATTTAGGGTTTAGGGTTCAGGGTTTAGGGTTTAGGGTTTAGGGTTCAGGGTTTAGGGTTTAGGGTTTAGGGTCCATGTACCCATACAGTATACGCTTTGGCCCCAAAGTACCGGTTTAGCGAATTCTTTGAGGGCAATGTATATTCTACTTGGGCACATGGATCCTTATAACCTATAAAACCCTTAAAGCAACCCTTACAGGAATCCTGAAAGGAACCTTTAAAGGAATCCTTAAAGGAACCCTGGGTGCATGGACCCTTGGGTTCTGTGGGCAGGAGTACGGAATGCTCTTGGACCTCTACCGCGGCTTGAGACAGGCGCATTCATGTCTTCTGTATGGAATACTAGCTGGTAGTTTTCGAAAATTAGGGGTACCTCATCTGGGGTCCTTGTAATAACAAAAGATCCTACTATTAGATACCCTATTTTCGGAAACTCTTGTTTAGCCGGCCCCTGAATAGGAGCCTTATTATGGAAGGTTTCTTTGTGAAGGGAGTAGAAAGTTCAGTATATGTTTCTGCAATCAGACGTAATTTTGCAGGTATGCTTGTACGAATGTATGTATGCACATATGTTAGTATGTCGTGATGTGTGCATGCTTGCATGTATCATACTCTTCCACACCGGCACATGTCATAGGTATGTGTAAACAAATTATGGTACACTGTATGTATATACACCTGTCTGTATATATAAGCCCAAACCCCCACACACGTCTGATTAGATATTTGTTTGTTCCGATGTGTTTTGTTTTTGCTGGTTTCTGTTGGCATACACACAAGTACGGGTCTTTATCCAAGATGTGTGCCTAACTTGCAGCTGGCATAAACGCAGCCTCAACCACATTTGTAGCATTGGTAGCAGGAGCGCATTCCGTTCCACGAGCATAGTACTAGCAGTGCATGTCATGCTTGCCGTGCAGAAATGGCAAGACTTGCCAGCATGTCGTTCAGAGTACTCGTACGACACCTTATGAAGGACAACACCCCTAAGCTCCGATACTTGACGGTGCTCGTGGTAGGCATCACGCTGTCTGCGAGTGGCTTGAACCTTCTCTAGGTAGGGCTTTGGGACATTTTATATTATCCCTTATTGGGTTTAAGAGGATCTTATTTATTAATATCTTTCAGGAGCTTTAAAAGCCCGACCTAGTTCTGTATCAGACCCCGAGCAAAACCTGTGGTAGCAACGTCAAAGCCGCAAGGGTTCAGGTATGCAGGGTTCGTGCGTGCTTCAAGTGCTTGGGCGGCTTTGGGTGTGTAGGGTGGGCTCCGTTTTTCATAGGAGGCCAAAAGGGGTTTAGCCTATGGGGGTTTAGTGGGGATTAGGGTTCCCATAATAGGGTTCATATTAAGGAACCCCCACCGCAAGAATCTTAAACCACCCTTTTGGCCTCCCATCAGTTTTCATTTTGTGACGTGCTTCCGACCCCTCCTCCCCCTCCCGCCCCCCAGCAGGGATGTCAACTCAAAAGCAAAGTATGTTTCAATGCTCTTCGTCGCCCTCAATATGGACGGGAGGCCCAAGTTCGCAAACATGAGGCCCTGTAGCAGTTTGCATGAAACAATAGCCCCTAATGCATCCATCCTACTCCTCAAACCCTTAGAGCCTTGAAGGCCGTGCTGAAACAACCCTCGGGAGACGTTTTGCAGGACCTGAAGCGAACTCTGCGGCTGGTCCCGGACTACAACACGGATGAGCTTCGAGGCATTCTTGGCGTTCTTCTGGTTGGACCTTTAGACTTTGACTTTTTGGATTTCTATATGAACCATAATAAGGAAGCTAAATTTTTAACTTTCAGGAGGGATTCAGGAGTCAGCCAAGCATTGATGCCCAGGGCTTTAGATATCAGTATTTTTGGGGTGTTGGGGATTGAGGGTTTAGGGTTCCGAGTATATTTGGGAGTTGACAGCATGTGGGGGGTTTCCGAAAATAGGGGACCCTAATACTGTACCCTAAATGGTAGGATCCTTATTATCAGGACCCCAAAATAGGGTACCCCTGCGTTCGGAGACTCCCATGTCTTGTCCAGGGTACCCGCAGGACTTGTTCATGAAACTTTGGGTTCCCACAAGCCCTCTCAAAGTCTTAAAGCCACAGAACCTGCACCGAAAGTCCATTCCTAAACCTTCGAACAACTTCCCAGAGGGTCCTATGTAGGTATATCGGGTGGGTACCTGTTAGCTGGTAGAACCTTACTTTAGTTCCTATCGTCGAAGCCCTTATGCAGATATGTAGGTCCCTTTGGCGTTGAATCATTTCGAGAATACGGGTAGCCCCAGAACCCGAATGCTGAGAAACCGAAGCTTCCGCCCTTCACAATGCGATTCTAGTTCATAGACTTCAAAAGCCCCTCAACTCCAAAGTTCGAGGTTAAAAGCTTGCGAATTCTCGATGGTCTAGCTTGGTACTTTCTGGCACCTTCCCTGAACTCTGAGGCCCTAAACCCGAAAGCCTTCCCAGAGATCCCAATACCCCTTATAGTTTACAGGAATATACCTTAAATCATAATCTCAAGGCCCCTATTACTTATGGTATATTCCTTATTAAGGGGTATTGGGTTCTCTGGGTTCTCATTTAGGCGCCTTGATGAATGTCATGGTCCTCGACACCGAAGAGCGCGTGTTGGTGCTCGGAGCCCGGACAAGAGCAATTCCTCGACTCATGGGGACTTCAGAATACCCTGGGGGGTCGGGGGACTTAGTAAGGGCTTTTAAAGGGGATTCTAAGGGTTCCTTCAAATGGCTCTATAAGGGTAGTATATATATAGGGTTTAGGTTTCAGGGACTTAGTAATTAACTAGGAAGTAGACTTATAAAAGGGACTCTAATTGGGGTTATGGTACTTATAAGTCCTTAAGATGACCAGTTACTAAGTCCCCCGACCCTCCAAGCAGAATATGGAGGTTGGTCTGTCCCCAAAGGGTGCATGTTAGTCTCCCCGCAAACCATGATCAGGATGCTCTTGTTCTGAAAATAATGCCTACCAAGGCCCCACATCGTTATAATTAAGCTTAAAGAAGGCCTCTCTCTCTCTATATATATATATACACATATAATATATATATATATATATATATATATATATACATATATATATATATATATATAGGCATCTTATCGCCCCTAGCTGACACATCTTGTTCCCGGCAACTGATCACAGCACCAGATAGCCTTGCACCCGAGGCCCGCGCCTGTCCTCGAGACGGAGTTCATCGGATTGGGCGAAGGCTTTCTGAGGGCTTCATATGGGAGTTTCCGAAAATTAGGGGTCCTTACTTGGGGGTCCTTATAATAAGGATCCTACTATTTGGGGTACTAGATTAGGGTCCCCTATTTTCGGAAACTCCTATATGGGAGTTTCCGAAAGGGGTCCTTATTTGGGGGTCGTTATAATTAGGATCCAACTATTTAGGGTACTGTATTAGGGTCCTAGTTAGACTCAGGTTCGGAGGCTTATGACCCGACAAGTTACAAGAACCTGCCCCCCCCATCGACATTGTAAACCCCGAGCTCTAAAGAATAAGGCGCTCAGTCAGGGTTTAGGGAGACACGGGGTAGAAAGTAGATCCCCTAATTTGGGGCCCTATACAACTAGGGATACTTTAAAAGGAACCCCCATTAAGGGATCTACTTTGTCAGGGCTCAGGGAGGCACGGGGTAGAAAGTAGATCCCCTAATTTGGGGCCCTATACAACTAGGGATACTTTAAAAGGAACCCCCATTAAGGGATCTACTGTGTCAGGGCTCAGGGAGACACGGGGTAGAAAGTAGATCCCCTAATTTGGGACCCTATACAACTAGGGGTACTTTAAAAGGAACCCCCATTAAGGGATCTACTGTGTCAGGGCTCAGGGAGACACGGGGTAGAAAGTAGATCCCCTAATTTGGGGCCCTATACAACTAGGGATACTTTAAAAGGAACCCCCATTAAGGGATCTACTGTGTCAGGGCTCAGGGAGACACGGGGTAGAAAGTAGATCCCCTAATTTGGGACCCTATACAACTAGGGGTACTTTAAAAGGAACCCCCATTAAGGGATCTACTGTGTCAGGGCTCTGGGAGACACGGGGTAGAAAGTAGATCCCCTAATTTGGGACCCTATACAACTAGGGGTACTTTAAAAGGAACCCCCATTAAGGGATCTACTTTTTCAGGGTTCAGGGAGACACGGGGTTGAGTTTGGTTTTGTTGTACGACTTTGTGCGCACGTGTTCAAGGCCATGGCTTCAGATTCAGATTTATGTTTTCTTTGGTCATGTCGGTATGTAACCATGTGTATGTATGTACATATACATATACCTACACAGAGACAGAGAAATCGAGAGAGAAAGGGGGAGGGGTTTTAAGGTTCAGTCGGAGGCTCAGAGCCTAAAGCCAAGCGTTGGCACAGACGAATTGTCTGGGCCGACATAGCATAAGAAAGAGAGAGAGAGAGAGAGAGAGAGAGAGAGAGACACAGAAAGAAAGAGATACAAAGAGAAAGAGAGAGAGAGAGAGAGAGAGAGATTAATGCTTGCAGTGCAAACCCGAAGTCGCAGGGGCTCAAGACATGTGCCGACAGATCCCAGGAGAGCATTCACTTGAGACAACTCCTGAACTCATATTAAGGCTACTTTTCTAAATTGGCTCCCGGGGTCCAACACTCATTGTCCTTAACCCTAAACCCTAAACCTTGCTTCATGCTCATCCCCAGAACCTACACCCCTAAGTGCCACAGCCTATGTCCCTCGCGCGGCAAGTGCTGGGGGAGAAAAGCCTCCGCCTCCGGCCGAAGCAGCTTTGCCCTGCGGTGCTTGAGGAGGCCCTGTCGGGTTTGGGGTTTAGGGTTTAGGGTTTGGGGCTTAGGGTTTAGGATTTTAAAGTTTAGGGTTTAGGGTTTACCTTGACGCCGAGTAACCTACCTTCCTAAGCACTTGTGTAAGGAAAGTCATAGTGAAGAGCTCGAAAAACGTAGGTCTTCCGGGCGAAGGTAGGGTTTCAAGGTTCCGGGTGCGGGCTTCTTTAGGGTGTAGGGTTCAGGGTTTTTCTGAGCTTGAGGTGTTTCAAAACTGAACTGCAAACCCGGCGCGTCGTGAAACGCCAGACCGTTAAGCCTGTGCCGTGCTCCCCTAGAATACTGTAACACCCAAACCCTCAACCAAGCAACTAAGCCTGAAAACCCGGTTCTTGTGCGTTTCGTGGTGCTTCAGGCAAAATCTCCTAGTTAAACCCTACAGGCCTCAAAGCCTAAACCCCAAAGCCTAAACCCCAAAAACCCATACCGGAAGTTTTGGTTCGAGGTCATGACCAAGGCTCGAGGGATTCAGGAATCTGGGCTTTGACGTGGTTTAGAACTTTAGGATTTAGGCTTCGGGGGATTAGGGTTTAAGTAGATGGTAGTTGTATCGAGTTGAGAGTAGGATATCTCATGTCGCATACCACAGGTCCATCGTAATGTAGATCCGAAATGGTATGGCCCAAGATTCCCGAATTTCAATACCTCATAACATAGAGGTGGGAATAATTGGTAATACTGACCGCTCAGAATGCCTATATAGTTAGATTATGTTGGACTGGAACATACCCGCAAAATCCTATTTATTGAGGCCCCTGTAGTAGACCCCTCTTTAACCCCGTGGGTCCAAGTACAAAATTAGCCGGTCCTATGGATTTCAAGGGTTTAGGGTATAGAAGGGTTTAGTTTTTAGAATGGTTGAGGATTTCCCTAGAGCCCTACCCCTAAACCCTAAACCATGGGTTTAGGGCCTCTTTAAGATCTCTCCGTTGGATTATTGAGGTCCTTTCCGGCGTGCGAGGCTCACCATACTTCGGTAAGAACCGAAGCTCCCACGATGCTTGGAGATTAAGCTATTTCGGGTTGAGGGTTTAGGGCTCAAGCAATCTAGGCCTCAACAGCAATAATAGATATAGGTTCGTCTATTGTGTCTTTAAGGGATATAACAGAATTGTGTAAGAGCTTCAGGGTTGTGGAGGTTTAGGGTGCAGGGTTGCGATTTTTCGGGTGGGTTGAGTCACCTCAAGCCGTTTTTGAACCTGCACAGTCAGCCCCATAAAGTTGGCATCAGGATTAAGCCCAAATAGTGCTGGGATTCCCAACACATTACCCAGAGACCCCATAGTAGTTCCTTTTTGGGATTACCTTATAGGATTCTGTATATGAACCCCAAAAGGAACTACTTTGGGGCCTTTGGGTATATACTCTTAAGTTTCTTAAGGCTTGAGGCTATTGGGTTTCCACCTTTTTTGTTTTTGACTTGTTTCCTGTGTCAGCCATGAAGAAGGGTGATGTACCGTACAGCAGCTCTTGGAGCTCTTGTGCATGCGGCTGCGGGGATGCCCAGAGATCCCGCTACCCCTCAGTTAAGGAATATATACCTTAAATCATAATATTAAGACCCCTATGATTCAAGAGATCCCAATACCCTTTAGTTCAGGAATATACCTGAAGCCTTAATCTTCAGCCCGCTAGTGTTTAAGGTATATTCCTTGATTAAGGGGGTATGGGAACTCCCTAAAACCTATAGATCCCGTAAGGGAACCCTATAGATACCTTTTTGATCCCTTTAAGGAACCCCTTGTATTCCTTAAATAAGGGGCTCACTGGGTCCTCTGGGTCTAGGGATTTAGGGGTGGAGGGTCTAGAGTCTAGGGATTCAAGGGGGCCGATGAGTCTGAGGATTTGGGGTCTGTTATCTCTACCTATAGTCTGCATTGTAGTTCCCTTTTTGGTTGCCCAGTTTTATGGTTAGGATCGTATAATATAGATTTTGGTTAACCAAAACAGGGAATTTACAATGGAGACTATAGGTAAACCCTAAACCCTGAACCCTAAACCCTGAACCGGGCATAGGGATCTAGCGGTTTAGGGTCTGCGTCTGGTGATTCAGGGGGAGCTTAGGGGTCCGAGGATTTGGGGTGTAGGGATTTAACATTTTTTAGTTGATGAGCCGGTTTCTGCATGTCGTGACCTTGCAAACCAAGGACTTCTACCGCCATACATATGGGTTCAGCCTAACTTTCCGCAGCTCGCATCGCCAGCGGGTGGAGGCTTGCTCTTGCTGAGACTGATACTACACCCGAACACTCAAATCCTAAGTTTTTCCAAACTTGCAATAGGGACCCCTAAACCCTAAACCCCTAAGCCTTTTCGGAGCCTGAGACTTGACCGGGCTATGCTTCACCTCAATGCCGCTAGCAGAGTGCCCAGCAAGTATCCTGGTCCAGCCCGCGTATTCACTAACTTGGCTGTGTAATTCCCTGCCTTTTACATCCCCGGGCTGAAAGTTTCGAGCTACACGTGTATTCTCTGACATACAGGCGCTTGCAGAGCAGCGGAGTGCCTCAAAGTGTCGTTTACCCTACGCAGGCTAATGGAGCAATTTCTACAGTGTCACTGTTATTCTTAAATACCCAGAGGCCCCGTAGTAGTTCCTTTTGGGGATTACCTCTTCGGATTCTATATACGAGCCCCAAAAACGAACTGCTTTGGGGCCTTTGGGTAATACTTGTTCCTCCCGGAGGAGGTCCCAGGGATCCACTTGGGAGGTCGGGGGACTTAGTAAGTAGTTAATGACTAGACTGTTAAGTACGTACCCTAAAAGGGACCCTAACTGGGGTAATGGTACTTATAAGTCACTAAAAGAACCAGTTACTAAGTCCCCTAAACCCTAAACCCTTACAGAATCCCTATAGATCCCTTTAAAAGGGCCCTTAAGGAACCCCTTATAGTTACTATAAGTCCCCGACCCTCCAAGCAGGGCTCAGTTGTGTCAGGAGTGGGTCTTCCAGCATCTTCAAGCTCATGTAGGAACCTTTGGGCCTTTATTAGGGTTCCTTTACAGGGGTCTGTAAGGGTTCCTATAAGGGGGTCCATAAGGGTACTATACTAATGTAGGAATACTGGAGGTTCCTTATATGAACCCAACTATTTTGGGGGTTCTAGGCCCAGGGCTTCTTAATCAGGTTCCTACA